CTAAATTGCCGTATGAAATTGTCAAAATATAAATTTATAAATCTCACGGTCCGCGGCCAGGCCCTGCTCACCATCCGTGACGCTTTATAATAGCCTGTGTGTGCTCACAAGTTGGCCGGAGAAAGAAGGAGAAGAATGGGAGACGGGAAAAAAGCAGCCGTATTACGGCTGCTTTATTAGGTTCCATGGGGGACCACGCACTCCAAAAATAAGATTATGTTTTTCGCGTGTACACTCCGTACGAAGGGTAGTGCTAAATCACCGTCGCTGCGGGAATGTCATTCTGCATCTGTGTTACAACTTTATACAGTTTTATTAACTGCCTTATTATTAAAAAGACTGGAAAATGAGAATGTTCATTTCGGCGCTTGGGGCTTGGACGTTTTTTTTAGAAACCAAATAAAATGTCAAAAATATTTTGCAAAAATATGCAAATGCACATACGGGTAATTCTCCCATAATTTTATTATTTAGATCCAAACTTAATTAAATATAAAATTTGTCAGTTTTTCTTGTTGAAATTATTTGCATATGAATGATAAGGGCAATTTTATTTTTTTAAGTTACAAGTTTATCAAGTCATCAAAGCACTAATACTTTTCCTAACCGTTCCTTACCTTATTTAAAAAAAAATGGCAAAAATCTTTGATAAATACAGAAATTCGCTTTTTACTTACAATTTAAATTAAGCTTCTATTTGTTGACTGGGAACATTTTATTAATTCTATGAACTATATAAAATGAATTCCTTCACTAGACTATCGGCTCGCTCGGAAACTTTCATCATCGGGAGTAGGGTTTTAAAGTGTCGAAAAAAACGGAAAAATTGTGAAAAAACCTGTTTTTTCCGTTTTTTCCCAGGCCTTGGAAAAATTGTCTTTTTTGGGAAAAATTAATTTTTTTTGGAAATATACACATTTGAAAAAAAGTAGCAATTAATAACTTAACATTATTTTAATTAAAAAAAAATCCTTTATTACAAAAAAAAAATTAACTTAACATTGAATTAAATTAAATTGATTAAGAAAATAAATGTAAACTTTAAATATACTGTTGGTTGGGTCTTTTTTGCAAAAAGAAGTCCATTAAAAATACCCAACTACAAAATAATGAATGATTTATAAAGTTAAATTACAAAATTATAATTTTATAAATCAAAGTGTGAAATAAATATGTTGAATATGTTTTTTGCGGCCCGGTAGAATATTCTTAATCAGCGTCGGAAATTAATTTTTTTCTCGATATCAGTGTATGGATATTATCCTTAAAAATTTCGAAAATTGTTTTAACCTTTGAATAAAATTTAAAAATGAAAAAGTCCCAGTTTTTTCGTTTTTATCCGGAAAAAACGGTTTTTTTCCGCCGGCTCAATTTTTCCGGAAATTTTAACCCCTATATTATAATCGGCAAACAATATACTATTTTTTCAGCAGTAATTTATTCTGTGTTTATTAATTTTGTTTAATTGAAAAAGTTAATATTTAGCATAAATATAAAAATATTAATATAATATTCAGTTAATTTTAGTAAATTTATAGGCTTCCTTAATTTTTAGATATGTTTTTTAATTTAAATTGGGGAATTACCTAACAAAATAAGTAAAAGTAGTTTCGCACCATGTTCAATTTTATTTTCCACTACATGCGTATGGGGATGGTTAAGGTATAACAATTTCAGGACACTTGTTGAAGCCAAAACTTAAAAAAGTTTAGAGGATATCATTTCGCTAAGTATTTTTCTTAAAACTTTAACTTTTTTGAGGGGGTTTCCAAAAAAAAATTAACAGCATTGAATAAAAAGTAGTTATTTGACATTCAAGTTAAAATTATGGGAGAATTACCCATATATTAAAGAGTATACTACACATTAAAAAAATATTTATTTATTTTAACCAAATATTAACAAGATTGTATGTTAATCCAGATCCACATAATTTTATGTTAAGTTTACAACCAACTGTAATCTGTTAACTAATTGAATAAGTAGTTTGTAATTATAACAAACATTTTGTAGATTTAAACACAAAATCCTATATCAATAATTCAACCATAATTCTTAAAATTGTAGACTCAGTAACAAAAGTATTTGTTGGAAATTGGGACTTAAATGAAAAGAATTTTGATAAAAAATGTTATTTATTTTATTAATCAATTTTCCAAACAAAAAAATTAACACATGAAAAAAAAATAACATACACACAATTAAATAGCACATCATCAAAAATCATCAAATTATAAAGAAATTTGGTACAATATAATTATCACTACTACTACAACACTTACTGATGTATTTCGTAACTTTAACCCATTGCATATCATTGCATATTACCTTTACAAAACTTTCGGTAAAATATTTTCCTTTGTTAAAATAATTGCAAACCCTGGTTTTCCACAAAAAATTATGTTAACAAATTTAATAACATTTCCATGATTTTTTTAAATTTTTATCACTCAAATTTTATTATTCACAAGTTAGTAAAAATGAGACTGAACCATGAGTCGCAGTTTTTGTTTGCGCGGATGGTGTATGGGATATAAAACATTAGCGAACAAAAGTTTGGACGCCTCTGTTAACCGGAAACAAAGTTCCGGACCCATTTCAGACCGTATTGTCAAGTAAATCGCAACAGAATCGATTCGAATCTTTTCTTTGTTTAAAAAAACAACTCTATCTACATAATTAATTACTCACTTTAAACATATTGTGCTGTTATTAATACGTTAAAATTAAGCACAAGGTGTTTGTTGATTGTAAAATTATTAATTTTAATAAACGTTGACACCAAGAGAGGGCGTGTTTTTAATTAAAGCAGCAATTTCATTATTTATAAATGTTTATTATGAAATTGAAACGAAACAAAAACTTTTAATCCAATCATATTTCAATAATTGAAAATTCGTTTTAATTGAATAATTTATTGAATGAAAATTACGTTTTAATTAAATAGATGAAGCGCGGGGAGCTATTATAAATTTATAACGAAAAATGGAAAATAGAAATTGAGTTTCCATATTGCATATTGAAATGTTGTCCGTTCATTAAACGATTTCCCAACATAATGCTACGGGAGACTCCATTAATTTCGATTATTACCTGCCATTGAAATTCTTTCCGTTATACACAATGGACATTGTCCCTCTGAAACTAAAATAACCAACTTAATTGAGGTTTTAGTTGGTATTTCGCACAGTAAAATCAACATTTGTGTTCTCATCTTTCCATTTTTGGACTTGAGTATTTGGCTGAAGAATTATGCAAAAATTGGCATTTGCTCTATTTGTTCTGATAATAACAAATTCAACAAAATTTAAACAAATTTATTACTATAACTTACAACACATGCATTTTAGTTATGTACTTGTTGCGTTTGTCACTATAATCTGGGTCCAGAAAAAGTTATATAATTGTGTGTATACATAAATATTATAATTTATGGTACAAGATGACAACACGCGTTAGTAGGTTCATCATCACAGACTTAATGCATTATTGCTACAATTTGTTTATTTTTTGTTCTACACAAACAATGCAAATCTTTACAATGGGGTTTGTTGCTTGTTTTACACATTACCAGTACATTTTGTTACATTTTGTGACAACTCTCTTACAAAAAAATTATGTACTATATTCAATTTAGACCATAGCAAATGAAGCGATAGTGACATAAATTCTTTTCATGTTTGGGCGAATATTTTTCACTGTTGATGAGGTTTGACGTGGGGAATTGGTTACTATTCCGATGTCATTGTGTGCTGGAAACTGGAGGACAGAAGTAAAAGGTCGTGTTGAGATAATAAAGAGACCTGTGTCCATTACTGTTTAGACGTTGTTTTGCCGTCCTCCCCCATTCGATTCGTTTTCTACATGTTCCGACTAATGGAATTATTCAAAAACAAACCCTTCCGACCGGTCCACATCAAACCGCAATCTAGGCAATCGTTAACTTCTCTAAATTACGAGTCGCTTCATTTAGTACCTCAAAAATATGATTTATAATAGGAGAATCTATTTCCATACCTCAACTCGTTATGCTTACGAAAAAAGACAACGTGGCTCTGTCCCAAGCGTTGCCAAATATTACTGAAGGCGCCTTACATTACACTTAATTAGTGAGTTACTTCCACTGATTACCGTGCGAGTTTTTTAATAGCTTCAACACTTTTGATGCTATCTCGTTTTGTGTTTTCGCTAAATGGTGTGTATCTATTCTTTTGTGTTTTGTCAATGGTGCCTATAAGACAAATACACAAAAATTTAGCCGATTTAATTGCAAATTTCCTTAATTAAATATTCGTCGAATCAAGACCGCATCAACCAGTGCGTTCAATCAATTAATCACGAAACAATGACGTCACGGAGTGACTGATCACTAATCATCAAGTTAACGAGCATTGTGACAACATCACGGACCAGTGGCATCGGAGAAGACATGCTGCGAATGCTCGTCCTAATCCATCTAGTTATGAATCCTGATTTTAAACACAATATATTTTGACAAATCGCTCAATCTGTTGGACTTTTAATAAACGTATTATTCTACATAACAATGATTAAAGACCCTTTGATAAATTTCGGGGCATAATTGAGTACACATTCAGTTGGAATCCCGAGAGACCAGGAGTTTATTCATCTTGCTTGGAAGGAACTTGCAACTTCCTTGGCGAGTTTCGGGTGACCGGAAGCTGTGTTCAACCGGATTTCACGGTGGACGTCGTCCTGCCTCCTTTATCCTTTGTGCTTACACTTCTTGGCCTGGCCTTAAACTTAAGGAGGACAATTACCATAGTCATTACGTTTGTGACGTTTCTTGAGAGCACCGCGATTTATGCGTCAGGTATTGTGGCGTTCTGAAGCCCTGAAAGACGATTTGTTATCCTTGCAGGACTGTTATTAATTGTGCGCAAGGGTGGGGAGATTAAATCTCGCTTTATTCGGGTTTAAGGGTTATACTTTGATAAATTAACCGTGTATTTCAATTGATATCAAATTCTTTGTTGCAGATGAGAATAGGGACATCAACGGTCATCCTGAAGACGACTTAAAACGGCAGAGGACGCAGTACAATGGAGACCAACTCTACTCAAACGTAAGTAAAGTCAAATGAGTAAAATGAGGGTTTCAAACACTCACCTGGGTAATTCTTCCATAATTTTAACTTGAATGTCCCGAGGCTGTCAAATATTATTTTGTATCCAACGCTGTTAATTTTGTTATATAAATACTTCAATATGAAAAAAAAATGTATACATATCCTCAATATGAAATTCTGCCATTTACCTACCATTGGTATCAAAAACATCAAGTTTTGTACAGCTTAATGAATACAAATATTTAGGTTTTATGTGTAAATTTTGTGTTGTGGTGGGAAAAATGTTGGATCCAAATATTAAAATTATGGGAGAACTACCCACCTCCAAGCATTCAAAATTTCTTCTGAAACATTTCATCTGATTGTTGTTCTTTTCGTAGCTTTGGCCGGGTAAGTGGAGTATCAAGGATGAACATAAGCTTTTGTCCGAGCTCGGGACGGGTACGGGGGCGGGCGGTCAAGCGGGCGGCTACTACGACGCCCATGGAGGCTTCCCGGGCGTCTCTTCGGCGGCGGATATCTATGACACCATCAACACGATGAGTCAAACGACCTCCCAAAACCTCTACACACCGCCACTGGCTGGATCGCTAGGTAAGCAATCTCATTATATTATTCTGGGTTAAACGTATAATGGTGACGGTGCAATTTTTGTGGACAAAAAAATAATAAACCCAATGTAATTCAGGTTCGAACTCTTTAACGCCGTTAGCACCAATAACAATGCACGAAATGAAAATCGAAATTGAAAATACACGTCTAGTGAATCAGGCATTGTCCCCTTATAACTCAGGTGAGATTTCAATGAAAGAAACAAACTCGGTTGAGGCCTAACTGTGCACAAGTAGCCCCCAAACATACCACCCCCTCCGATTTCGTCTGGTTTAGGTGACTGCCCCCTGCAACGACACTGTACTAACCTGCATGTTCTTAGCCTTATTTTTCGCATGTGTTTTTATGTAGCCATTGTACCAGTTGCTCATTGCATCACTTGACATTGAAAATATCAATTAAGCTTGCTATCTTAAATCTGCCCTTCCTATTTTCCCAAGCTGTTCTATTCTTCTTTACGCTATTATTTACTAAAATACACTTTCAATGTATACAGAGTGTTTTATCAAGACGACGTATAAATTTTGTCTACGCTATCTATTTTTGATAAATCAGAAGTAGCTTTTTCCAAATGTACCAAAGTAGATAGCATAAATAAAATTGATCGTCCATTGAATTGTTTTACCTTCCCAAAGAGGAAGACCATCAATAAAATAGTAGACAGGATTTAAGAAATCATTTTTGGAGTTAATATTATTAATAAATTTAAGAAATTAAAATTATTTTGATATGATAATTTTTATTTATGATTTTCTTTGCTTTTAAAGTAAAATCATCAGGATGAAGCATTGGTCTATACTATCCATTTAAAAAAAATCAGGAGTAGCTTTTTTCAAATATACAAAGAAGATAGCATAGGTAAAATATATGGTCCATTGGAAGGGTTTTACCTTCCCAAAGAGGAAGACCATCAATAAAATAGTAGACAGAATTTAAGAAATCATTTTTGGAGTTAATTAATAAATTTAAGAAATTAAAATTATTTTGATATAATACATAAAATCATCAGGATAAACCATACATTTTGTCTAGGCTTTCTACTGTTGAAAAATCAGGAGTAGCTTTTTCCAAATATAAAAAGTAGAAAAAATTTAAATAACTTTGATAAATTATATTTTATTTATCATAATCTTTGTTTTTAAGGTAAAATCATCAAGATTAAGTACACATTTTGTCTATGTTATCTATTATTAAAAAATCAGTAGTAGTTTTTTCCAAATATAAGAAGCAGACAGCATAGAAAAAATGTATGGTCTATTAGAAGGGTTTTACCTTTATAAAGAGGAAGGCAATCAATAAAATAGTAAACAGTATTAAAAAAAAAATTAAGTTACTCTACTTATATGCTTTCAAAGTAAAATCAGGAGTAGCTTTATCTAAATTTAGAAAGTAGATACTATACATAAAATGTATGGTGTTTTAGAATAGTTTTACCTTTCCAAAGAAGAGGACCGTCAATAAAATAGTAGTAGTGAAATTTATTTTTAATAATATAGAAATTAAACATCCTGTAGAAAATCCTGGTCTGGTTGACCTTTGACAACCGCAAGATAGATATTTAAATTAAGTTAAAATTAATTATTATTAAAAAAAACAGTTACAAGTAATTGTGTTTTTTCTACTGCAATACAAATGCAAAAATAAATAATTACACAAGAAAATTAATTGTTGTGAACTGTTTATAATTAAAACTTATTCAAATTTGTTATTGTTTTTAACGTTATGTTTGTCAGCCAAGATTTAATAGATTTTTTAACAGATATTATTAAAATGCATGTAATGATTTAATTGTTTTAAACGAAGGTGAATAATGCAGCATTACTTGCTATTTCACGCTTTTTGCATGTTTGGTTTGTTTATTAATTTAATTTACCGTTTTATTTTTGTGTGTGCTAATTTGGACTTTTGTTTTGCGCATGCTCAGCCGAAACTAGTTCGCCGTACAGTGGCGTGGTGGGGTTGGGGTCGGCCGTGGACGGAGCCTCTCCAGGGTTGCCGTTAGCCCTGCCGGCCGAATCGGGGGGCAGTCAGCCGACGTCGCACACGGGTTCCCCCGATCCTGCTGCCCTCACAGTCCTGCAGCCATCTAACGGCTCCACGCAGCACTACTCGACCATGCTGCCCAGTTTCGGGTACTCCACAGGTACTGACAGTTGCGATCATTTTTTGAGGTTGTGGGGTGGAATCTGAAAATAAGTTAATTGGTACATATTAACAAAACATACAAACCTTATTTACCCCTTAAAGGTAAATACCAAAAAATAAATAATAAAAAAGATCCCACATTAGGTTTTATTATTGCTGTAACAGGGCATCTTTTAAAATTACACCTTAAAGCTGTTTGTACGCTGTTACAGCAAACTATATTACTTGGAATCAAAAAGGAGAATCCTTGTATTGCCTTCAATGCCTATTTTTGCATCAATAACACTAGTTTACAATATCGAAAAAAAATTCTGCCCACCATATCCCATTATAAGTATCCCATGTACTTTGACCCTCGGTGGTGTAGTATTTAGCACTGCGGACTACAAGCCTTTTTCAAAAGGGTTTTTTTTAATTTTTCCCTTAACAGCCATCTTCAAAAAACTATAAAAATAATAAATTGTAAGATAGATTTTGAGTAGGCCAAAATATCGGCCAAGGGGGTTGCTATATTGCGTTGAAATGTATACTTAGTAACCTCCTTTATGAATGAACATTACGTGCCAGGCACATTTATTTTTGTTCGTTTTATTTATACACTTATACATATATGTATACATATATGCATATATGCTTAAATTTATTTTACAATATTATATACATTAATATGAATAAATATTTTTGATTTGATTTGATTTGATTTGCGGACTACAAGCCGAGAGGTAGTGGGTTCGAATCCCACCAGGGGTATGGCTGTTTATTTGTGTGTACTCCTGTAATTCGGCCTGGTGCCTGTTGGAAGCACATTAAAATAATAATAATAATAATAATAAACACGAAAATCACACTCAATTTTTTTTATGGAAGCGTTTTTGAAATATTAATTTTCAATTGTTTTTTTTTTTCAATTTTCGGAGGTGTTTTGACGTTTTTGAGTACCTATAGCTTGAAATCTAATTGATCGATTTGGTGAAATAAGCCCTTAAATTGAAGGTATTTGAGCCCTCTTAAACTTTCTTTTACATACTTTTGATATCGGATAAGTATTTTGACGCTAGAGATTTTAATAACTTAAAAAATTCGTTTTTATGGCAAAAATTGAGGTCGAAAATTTACATATCGTCCTGGGAAAGGTTTCAATCAAACAGATAAGTCCAGTTTGCATTTTTTTTTCGTGAAACTGACATTTTTACAAAAAAAACAAGCTGTTGATAAAAATACATGCAAAATGGCTAAGTTAGGATTTTTTTAGTGGAAGAAAATTCAGCTTTTTGACGATTTTTAATTAATATGTTTATTCTTTAATGAAAAACTAAATAAAGTGCATGATTGGAATTTTTTGAGTTTTTTACGTACGTTTTTCACCGAAAACATTATTTAAAATTTAAATTTGACGTGAATTCCTTTGTTGCTCGTGTTGGCATAGTGACATTTTACTGATATTTTTTGATATTTCAACAAGGTATTTTTATCATGGTTTTATTTAGTTAATAAAAAGTGTAAAATGACTAAAAGAAGTAGAGAGTTCGAGTGCCTAAATAACCTGCACAATCTGGGCGACGTAAGTGATGAGCACGGAGAACGTTTTCACAAGCAAATGAGGGCTATGGAGCGGCGGTATCACGGCTTCTGGGATGCCATGATGGGTGATTACATTTGGTCCCTCATACGAGAAACCGAATACGAAAGCAACAAAAAACAAAGAGGGAGCCAGATTTGTTTTAAACCTATGCTTATTACAACAATATAAAACTTTCAATTTCTTCAATGTTCAATATTTATTGTTTAATATTCAATATATAATTTAATTTTAATATTTAATGCACTGAAAGAAATTTATGTTTCATATATGGACTACCACATACATTGCTAAAACAAACATATAATATATTTACCTTAACCATTTTTATATTTAGTTTTAACATATTATGTTAAAACTAAATATAATATATGTTTGTTTTAGCAATGTATGTGGTAGTCCATATATGAACCACAAACATTGCTAAAACAAACATATATATGTATATATGTATTTCTTTCAGTGTGTTTAAAATAAAAATCAATGTTTAATATTCAATTTTATATAATTCAATAAAATGAAGAAAAAACGTAAAAATTCTCTAAAAACTGAATGTTGGTCTTCCACTGAAAAATTCATAACTTCGCCATTTATCCATGGATTTTTATAAACAGCAGCTTATTGTTTTCCTTCAAGTATAATCTATACTTAAAATAAATCAAACTGGAATTATCTTTTCAATTTCTATCTTTCCTAAAAATATATATAAATTTTCGACCTCGATTTTTGTAAAAAAAAAAGGAATTTTTATTTATTTATTTATTTATTTAGGGATAAGGGATACACGAGAATATATAATATTTAGGTAAAAACCCATGGGTTTGCAACAGTCACACGTGTTACTTTGGATATTTTACTTTTTTAAAAGTAGGTTTCTCTTGGTTAACAAATTTCTACATTTAATGGTTCTAACAAAAAAAGGATTAGGTAAATTTGTGGTTTGCTAACTTTTTGTCTTTTTTAGCAGGCACGGTGGTTCCGGGTACAGATTACGCTTATAGTACGGCGTACAGTCAGTATGGAGCGGCATATGGCACCTATGGCTACGGAACAGCTTCCAGCGGGTTACTCAGTAAGTAAACAGTGAGTATTGTAGATGTAAAATTATAAATGTCGGTGTGATCGATCTTGTTGATCATGTTTGGCATTTTTTAAACCTCACCCACTCAAAAATTTAATTTTGGTTTAAACAACAAAAAATATTAGTAGTAATTTTTGAGTGTGAAGTTTGTTTGTAACACACAGCACTGAGTTTTTTTGCTCGATAAAAATATCATTATTTACAAATCAAATAAGTATCGTAAAACATGTTTTAAAACGATTGGTTATGGTCTGAAAATTTAGTACTGTAAAAACAATTTTTACATGTTTCTTGGTAAATCATTGAATGCTCCATAAATTTAAGATTTAAGATAACGGAAAAAATTAATAGGACTTAAAAGAAAGAATCTTATTTACTTAAATAAAATGTTACTTGGTTGCATTATTAATTATTTAATTAAACAGAATTTCCAAAACTGTTTTTTCTAATTTGCGACCAGTATTTTTATGTTATTATTATGTTTATTTTTGGAAATATGTAATTTTTATTGTACTTTTAAAAAGTAAAAATTATTAAAAAGAGATAAGTGAAAATTATTGAAAAGAGATTCCGATAAATTAAAAAAAAAAATTACATTAAACAAATTTAGTACGATTCTTTTTTTACATAATATTTTTTCTGTGAAATTCGACATAATTTTATACGATTTTATAAAATATTATCCAATGAAAAATTTACATTCAGTACAGCTAATGACGTAGAAATTCTTTTTACAATTATTATTACTAAAAAATAAAATTTGTAGTTACGCATACGTTGTCTTGAGTATGAGGTGCAGACATTTTCGCTACACCAATTTTCCTTTTCAAAAAGTAAAATGTATTTTTCTACTCCCACCTTTAAAACGCCCTTTATCGTACATGTTTCCATGACACTAAGTGACCTTTTAAATACACATTGACAAGTTGTGGCCTTACGGCGCTTTAGTCACGGGCTGAAGTTATCAACAGGTTTTTAGTCACGGGCTGAAGTTAGTTTTAAGTTAGTTGAAAGTTGTCAAATGTCATACAATCGTTAAAATAAAGTGCCTTTCTTGTAAAATAATACTAAATGTGAAAAATATTTTATTATCTCAATACAAAATACAAAAATTATAAATAATTTCTCAACGCCAATATTTGAAAAGTTTATATGAACATTGTACTGACCTTTTAATTTCGCCGGCAGTAAACTATAACTTAAATTCGGGCACGGACTCTACTGTAAAGTCCTCATAAAACATTTCCTTTACTTTCACTGTGAAAAACTGTCAGTTTTCAAGATACATTTCGATTTATAACCTTTATAATTGTGTTTATAAAATGTAAAAATGTGACATTTGACAGTTTTCCCTGTTGTTTCATAGATGGCGCTCTATACAAATTTTTGATTTAAATCATTTTAAGATAATAATAAGTATTTGTCGTAGAAAAAGTATAGTATGCACCTCGTTTATAAACTTTTCTATACACTCATTAACTTAAGCACTCCCTCGCAAGCTCGCTCGTGCCTAAATTAAATTCGTGTATAAAATGGCGTTTATCAAACTTGATACATAATATACTATTATCTACTCCTACATTTACAAGCTATGACTTTATGGCGTTTTAGTCACGGGCTGAAGTTAGCTTTATTATAAATTAGAGAAAAGTGAGGTTAATTCCGTTGACATTTGACAGATGTCAAATGTTTAACAAATAAAATTGGCTTTAAATTCTTCTTTTTGTTCGTCGTAGATAAAGTAAAGTATTTAACTCGTTTTATAAACTAATCTAGATGCTAAACACTCGCTTGCAAGCTTTGTTCGTGCCTAATAAAACTCGTACAGACTTATCTCTTTTCAATAATTTTTACTTTTTCAATAATAGAATAAAAATAACCAATTTATTTTTATAAAAATAAAAAAGTAAAAAAATTACTTTAAGTTCAACTTTAACCTTAAATAACTTTTAAACCAGTGAATTTATCAAAAAATTATAAGAAAGCTTTTTTGTACAACGTTCAATTTCCTATAAAACTAAGTATCACTTATTGCTGTATATTAACTTGCTCGGGAGAAAAAAAATTAAATGTAAAACATGCCAAAACCCCATGTTATTTAAATGGGAAATGTATGGTCTTTTTGGCAGGTTTTAATATAAATATTAAGGGCTTATATGAGTGTCATATTTTATTGATGTCAAATTTAAAACATGTTTTAGTAGTTCTTGCACTATCAGCATCGACCAAAAAGCAGATCTTAACTTTTCCGTTTTTTTTTCAGATGCCCCTTACTACTACAGTAACAACGAGATGCAGCTGAACGCGCCGCACGTGGTGGGCACGTCGACCGCGAACTCGGAGCAGAGCAGCAGGAGCCCCCTGGCGGCCACTAGAGCAAACTCGCTGGCGTCGGCCAACTCGCCCACAGAAAGCGGCAGCGCGTGCCTCAAAACCGAAAACATCTACACGCACGACCTGAACCTCGGATAGATGGCGCTCGCGTCCCATTCGAACTCCTCCGAAAGGACTTTAACAATAATTTTGTGAATACGTGTGTAGATATTACTATGAAGTAAGTGTGTTTTGTTTGTATTCGTGCGAATACGGTTACGCCCCCCTGTAAGATATTTTACATTGGTCTCAGAAAACTACGAAAAGTTTATTATTAATTTATTGATTTAACTACAGCAAAATGTGTTTTTATATTGTAATAGTTTATTTTATATTTCTTAGCGATAAGTTACACCAAAGAATTGTTTTTTTAAGATTTACGTTCATTTTGCACCTGTATCATTTCTTATAATTTTAATAACTTACACTGTGGACAAATTATTTCATTAAACTGAAAAAAAATGACACGATTTGTCTACAGTGAACTGTGTATAGTATTTTGTTAGTACATCATTAATTGCACCAAAAACAATGATTACCTGACAAAAAAAACAAAATTTTAAACAAATCACAATACAACTAGTCAGAGAAAACGTACTTACCTAAACCTAAAATTTGTGTTCTCTGAAAATCGCAAACGATTTCATGAAATTTTACTACTTACACTAAAATTGCATGGAATCGTACAGGTTAAACCATAAAGATAAATTTGACATACAAAGTATTATTTATAATGAAAATAATGATTTTTATTTAATTTTGTTTAATGTGTAATAATATACCAAAGAGATGGCGTACTTATCATAGCCGTCAAGGTATTGTAAGTATTTGTTTTACAATGTGATAGGCCCACATGTTTCAGGCCCCTCTTGCCCCCTTAAACCAACCCTGTCACATTCACTCATAGCTGTAGGCAGTTTATATTTAGAAAAATAAATTAATTTAAAAATATAAAACAGTGCATTTTTACTTTTTATTCATCTCCCAAGATATTAATTTTAGAGATACAACTTATGACCTTTTTTGTAGATAACTAAATTTCCTACAAAAATGTGATTTACTTTTTTCTCTAAAGTCAACCGTTCACAAGTTAAGAGTAGACTTGTAAAAATTAATATTTAAATCTCAAATTTTAACAGGTAGAACAAGATTTTCAAAGGGGAATGAAAAAATGTTTGTATAACCCAGTTTACGTCACCAAAGTTGTTAAACCATAAAGATTAAAAAGCGTAACTTGTTACCTGGATTTCTATTCAACCACAATAAACCTTTTTGTTTCCCATAAACCAAAGAAACAAATAATACCACAAATTAACAATATCAACTTTTTTTATTATTACAACAATAAATTTAACAAAAATGATAACATAATTTATATATTTAGCCTTATTCTATCACAATATAACTTCAGTGAAAGCTGGAAGATTCATCGAAATCTTTTTCGTATTCAGTTTTTTCCACCATGTACCTAGGCAAGTTTAAACCCATCACTTTGCTGTAGACCCTTTGAGTTTCCAAACCTTCTTTGATTTCTTCCTTTTTCTCGAGCTGCTTGTCCTTTTTGGGGTTGTATTTCACATAAGAACCAAACTTCTCAGACGCAGCTGCCTCTAGAGTCGGTTTTTGAGTTGTAGCCTTCTTGAAAACCCTCTTACGTTTTATGGTGGCCTTGGTAACAGGGGCGGGGGTGGTTTTTACCGATTTTCTCGACTCAGATTCCTCTCCATCTTCAATTTCTTCAGGCTTGTTCAACTTCTGCACCTCGTGGTAAGCCTTGTGGGAATTCTGCGGCTCCGATACGTACATGCACTCCTCATGACTTATATTATTCTCATCCTTACACAAGTAACACGTCATGCCCTTCTTCTCTGCCTTTTTGCATTTGGATCGGTCTTTCTTGCTGAATTCAGCCAAAACGTCTTCCACGTCGTGCTTAGATTGCGTGGGTGTGTACTCAACTTGTTCTTCTCTTTTGCTTTCTTCAGTTTCTGGGTAAAGTTTCGAATGGTATTCTTCATCGAATCCCGTGAATTTTTCCTTGTTGTTATCCTTTTGGTTTTCCGTGTCCTCGATGAAATGTTTCGGTACTGAATATTCTTCATTTTTGCTGCCTTCTTTGTTTAACCGCCTAGTTCTGGTACGTTTTTGTTTTGTTTCCCTGTGTTTGTCATCTTTAAGGTTATCTCTTGTTTCCTCGCCTCTGCGTTTGGAAAATCTATTATTTCTTTCTGGTCTTCTATTGGTTTTAATTTTACCTTCATACTCTTCAGTGGGCTCCACAGCTACTTTAGAACCATACTCCTTTTCGACAGGTCTCTCAATTTTCTTGGATTTTTGCTCTACAGTCTTGCTTTCTTCTTCTTCAGGCTGATCATCGTCATTGCTGTCGTATTTTTTGTTTGTCACGTAGGCATACTTCTTGTCTTTCGGTTCAGAAGTGTACGAGCATTGCTCATAGTTGCCGCCGGTTTCAGAATCTTTGCAGATGGTGCATGTCATGCCATCTTTGTCGACCTTTTTGCAGTTCTTGGGATTCTTCTTGATTTCTTCCGATTGTTTTTCGGAGTAGCTACGAGATTCGCTTTCGAAATCGGGGTTGTATTGAAACAGCTTACTGAAATCTGCCTCACCGTCCTCTGTGTTTTGCTGTTGGGAACGTCTCTTAACGTACTCGTATGGGTCAGTCTCGTCATTTTCTTCAGCGTCGGAGTATCTTTTGTATCTGAAACCATCAGCACCGTTTGATGGGGTGGAGTATCTCTCGGATTGACCTTGATAGTAGTTCAGAGGTTTTGGTTCGGAGGAGTAGGAACATTGAGTGTATTTGGACTTATCAGAGGGGTCCTCGCAGACGTAGCAGTTCATGGAGTCTTCCTTGTTGATAGCTTTCTTAATTTTCCTACAATTTTTCGCTTTTTTTGAAACAGTTTCGGAAGATTGCGTCTCGTACACAGGGGCTGTATGTTTGGATGCTTGTTTTTTATAATTGGGATTAAAAGGAGCTATGGTGGTGATGAGGGATTCTAAATATTTGGGATGAGGTGAGTTGGTGGCGGATTGGAAGCTATACTTTTGGTATGGAGATGGTGAAACAGGAACCCAGCCGTCGGCGGATGGGTATTGAGATACCGTCGAACTAGGTTTATTGTAGTTAAATGACTTAACATCGTCAATTTCTTCAGCTTCCTTATCCTCCTTTTGATTTTCCCTCGGTTCTACCTCCTCCACTTCATCTGAGCGCGTGGAAGCTCCTTCTTCGTCGTCGAATCTCAGTTTTTGTGGTAGATGATTGTAAGAAATATATTTAGGAGCATCATTATTGTCTTCGGGTTGATTCTCAGCGGCTTGTTTACGTTGAGATTCTTCGAAAAAATCTTTTTGGAACGATTGGTTGTCTTGGTTGGGGTTACCGAAAATATTTCCTGTTGGTTGCTGCTGAGGCACTAAAGTCTGCGGTTTTGATATTTGTTGGTTGTTTGAAGCACCAAATTCTGTAAAAAGGAATCTTGTAACCTAAAGAGTAAGTAAAAATAAAATAATTTACCTATAGGTGCAGGCCCGAAGAAGCCATCGAACTCATGTGGAGATACGAAACCCCCTGGGGGCGAATCTTTTCCTTGATTGACCAGAGGTGCTGAACTATCGACTGAGTAATATTTTGAGTAGTCTGGATGTTCGTAGTGTTCACCATCATCTTCGGAAATGTTTTCGTGGTCTTCCTCCCCATCGTACTCGTAATTTTGCGAGTTAATTTGGGAAACAATTAATAGAAGAAGACATGCCTACAAGACAATATTAACAAATGAATAACAAGCGAATGAGATTACAAACCTTGCTAATAATAAGGCTTCTAATTCGAAGCATAATGAAGAAAGAATCACAAATATTGCATTGCAATTGAATAATTACAACAATCGTTTTATATACCTTGAAGATCCCTTCCCTAAATACTTTAAAGATTCTGTAACAGAAAGCAAACCAAAGGTTTCAATCAAGCATAAAATGATTGAATCCAAGCGTTCAAAAGCGGTTTTTTACCACTGACTTTAATGTATAACAGGGACTATGTTGTTTAAAAAAAATGAGATAATATGCACTCAATTGCAATTATTTAAGAAACTTTTGCTTGCCAATTTTAATCAGTTACATCAGTGGATTAATTTACAAAAAACGTTATTTAAATGGTTGATATAATTGTGGGCAAAAAAATTAAATTATTGGTGGTTTATAAAGGTGGTTTTTTAATTTTAACTAATAGACAAACATTTTTCATATTTTTTTAATGTTACACAATAAAATTCATTCTAAAATTAGTTTTCTTTTCATTAAGGTGTTTTCACTACTTCTTAAAAAAATTGAATTGTTTAATTAAGAAATCAAGAAATTTTAAATATTTTGATGATGACTGGCCCTTTATCATAGCTTATGTAAAGTACTAATCCCATACTAACAGATAAATAAAATAAATACAGGGTGTTTCCTAAGTACCGTAACTTTAAGACTTAAGGGCAAGTTGATTTGAAATTTTGTTCTTAAATTTCTACAGAGAAACGGAGCTTCAACCAAGAATACGTTTTTGAGCAGTGGAACTTATCTTTTTAAAATTTAATTTAGAAAAAATTTGTTGATAATAAATCAAGTGGTAATTGTAAAACAAACACTCGGTATATAATATTTTCAAATTTTAGACAACTCTATCGATATCCCCCGTATAACAAATTTCGTTCGATTTTTAAAATTTATGTGGAAGATTCTCAAAAAATAATTATTATTGAAAATGCTCACCAAATTTGAGCTCTTAATATTAACAGTAAGATCCTCCTCATCACAGTTTTCCATTTTTTCTTTGGTCCCTTATTAAAAAGACCTTATTTCATTATAAATTAATTGTTTAATCAAATCTTTATACATATTTTTGTAGGAAATTGAATGCTCTACAAAAAAGGCTTGATGTGTTTTAGAGATTACTTTTGCAATTTAAAAGATATTCAAGATCAAAGTTTCAAGAATTTATAAAAAAAATCCGAAAATCCGTATCCTACGAAAGCGTAGAGCTGCCATGTCAATATTAAAAAATATATTTGGGAAAATTTACACTTTTTCTGTAAATTTACACTTTTTCTGTAAATTTACACTTTTTCTGTCTATTTACAATTTGTTCTGCACAATTTACTACCCAGCAATACGTTATTAAGTAGTGAGAAGCGAGCTTTGTTATATGCCTGTTAAGTGTCGACGAAGTGTATTCATTAGATATTATGGACGAATATATTAAATCCTACTTTCAAATCGGATTAAGGCATAAAGAAATCTTGACATGGGGCATTCCACGTTACTCGGTAATTTTTGTCCCGCCCGTCACAATTGAAAATTGTGAGTAAAAACCACAAGTTATAAAATTAATATTTTATAATATTATTTTTATTGTGCTTATAACTTATTAAAAGCATAATAAATCAATATTTTTAAATAAATTTTATAACGTGTAGTTTTTACTCACAATTTTAAATTGTGACGGGCGGGACAAAAATCCCCGAGTAACGTGGAATGACCCACATGTCTTCTAGAAGACGGTTATGTTCTAAGTTTACGTCATTTACGAAGGCATCTAAGGCGACTTCGTTTATTTCGAAGAAATATTTACACGGACGTTAATATTATGGTACAATTTTTGGAAACACAAATATCGACACACGGTCAGCTACACGGCTACAGGTGGATACACCTTAAGTGCCTTCAAAATACAGTCAGAGAACTGCTACGCACTTTGGATCCTGATGGAGTTAGACTACGTCAGCGACGTCGTCTACGAAGGAGACAATACTACAATAAAGGCCCCAATTTTCTCTGGCATACCGATTGTTACGATAAACTGAAGCCATTTGGAATTTGTATAACTGGTTGCATAAACGGATTTTCTCGTTATATTATCTGGTTGAAAGCTGGACCAAATACCAACGGTAATGGCTTATCATTTCATGCAAACAGTTACAATTAAAGGTGGATGTCCACAGACTTTATGCGCCGATTTGGGTACTGAAAATGTCATCATTGAACGAATACAAACAAATCTAAAACTGGAAGGACCGGATGCGCTATCACATCTTCCAGGATTCTTATATGGAACAAGTCATGCAAATCAACGCATAGAGGCGTGGTGGTCAACCTTAAGAAAACATCATTCGCAATTTTGGTTGAATGTATTTCATACTTTAAAGGATGAGGGCTCATTCTCAGGAGGCCTAATGGATAAATCACTTATACAATTTTGCTTCTTAGATATTATAAAGGTAAGTCGGTCTTTGATAAACAATAATTATTCAATAAGTACTGTTAACAGTGATAACATAACAGGTTCTGTCAAGGGTTCTGTAACAGAACTTCTGTTTAATCCGATCTGAGATACAATGTTTGCTACTATTCAAAAGGATATATGTCACCATTGAAGTACTTACAATTTGACCCTGGTATAATAATGATTTTTCTGAAATATTTTACACATAGAATAAAAATACATTTTACATAATAATTCATTATTACAGTTGTTACTCTTAGACAAAAATACTCAACCGGGCTTTAAATAAGTATACAAAGAATAACATTTAATTATTGTGCAAAAGTTCTATGTCTACTTAAAAATTAGGTCAAAATTTGTATTAAAAAAATAGTTTTTATAAAATATTCTAAAAACACTTTTGCCAACTTATTTATAGTAGGGTTTTAATCATTTTTTTTATTTATTTCAGTGGCGTGCCCAAAATTAGCGTGACATAATTTAAATGTAAAAAAAATATTTTATAAAATAATAGTTTTTAAAGTAACGCTTTTGCTGATTTTGTCAAAACTTAAGTAAACTTAGCTAATTTAATTAGTGCTAATAGCACGTTTTTTAGTAATAGAATGATTAAAATGCGTATTTGGTGTTTTTCTCCTTAAACCTGTATGAAGAAAAATTTATTTAAAATTCCTTTAACCTTAAAATAAACTGCGCACCACTCAATGTGTCGCGACCAAAAAGTTCGTTCTTTTTCAAAACCACATAACTTTTTTGTTTCTTGGACGATTTAATTTTGGTTTGTGATGTCTGCTAGCCTCATCCTCTGGCAATTTATGCTATAGATATGAAGCTCACGGTTGGTCAAGTAAACTTCCTACAGGGTTATATGTTAAACTGTGAAAAATTTCAATAACTTTATCCAAGCCCCGTTTGTAAAAAAATATTTTTTTTTTCGTTTTTACTTTGAAATAATGAAGTATTATGTGTTACCTTGAAACGTTTTTCAAATTTTTCGAATTGGAATCTTGAAAATATGATTTTTTTCCCAAAAGAGTACATTTAAGGCTTTTTTTTAGGCAATACACTCAGTCTTTTTAGGAACAAGAAGATAAGATGGTGAAAGATTGTTCCTTAAATAATTCTGAACAAGCGACAAGCAACAAACTTCCATTATTTTCAGAGGACCTATGCTAAGACCACTTTTTGAAAATGACATTTTTGTGAAAGTTTGCAAAAACTAAACCTAAACCGAGATTTACTTTCGTAAAATGTTTTTTTCATAATTTTGACCTCCTGATTGTGATTCAGTTGACAAATTTAAGTTTCAGATAAAACCAAAATCACTACGAATCAAGATTCGAAAACAATTCCCGGCTGTTAAATGTGTCAATAAAATCCGATTGACACCATATTGAGAAAATAAATTGGCCACCTTTGTCTCCGGATATGAATCCTATTGAGCATGTGTGGAGCAGGATAAAATTGAAGATGAAAGAGAGGGAAGGAGGCATGGAAAATTTTGATGAATTGGTAAATGCTATTCAGGAAGAATGGGGTATCCCAGAAATTTCTAAGGAACTTGGTCGAGGGAATGCCTAGGAGGGTTAACGAATTATTACGGCTTAGGGGAGGGCCAACGAAATATTGAAAGGTATTATTGTTATTGTTTGTTACATTTTTCTGTTGAATGTTGAAGTTTTGATTATGATTATATCTACGCATACAATTTTCAAAAATGAACAAAAATATTTTTATTTAACTTTATTATAAATTAGGTAGGTACTTATCAATGATGTTATCACTACTGCGCAATGTAAGTTATATAACATTATCCTAACCACTCAAACAAATTGCAGTAATTTTGCCCAAAAAATGAATCCCCAAATTGCATTTTCATCGGATTTTATTAAGACATTTAACAACAGGGAATTGTTTTCGAATTTTGATTCTTGATGATTTTGGTTTTATCTGAAACTTAAATTTGACAACTGAATCACAATCAGCAGGTCAAAAATATAATGAAAACATGTCACGAACGTAAATATCGGTTCAGGTTTAGTTTTCGCAAATTTTCACCAAAATGTCATTTTGAAAAAGTGGTCTTTGCTTAGGCCCCTCTGAAAATAATGGAAGTTTGTTACTTGTCGCTTGTTCAGAATTGTTCAAGGAACAATCTTTTACCATCTTATTTTCTTGTTCTTAAAAAGACTGAATATATTACCTACCAAAAAGCCTTAAATGTACTCTTTTGGAAAAAAAATCATATTTTCGTTGCTAAGATTCCAATTCAAAAAATTTGAAAAACGTTTCAAGGTAACACATAATACTTCATTATTTCAAAGTAAAAACGAAAAAAAAATTATTGTTTTACCAACGGGGCTTGGATGAAGTTATTGAAATTTTTCACCGTTTTACATATCACCCTGTAGAAAATTTACTTGAAGAACCGTATGCTTAATATCTATAGCATGAATTGCCAGAGGATGAGGTTAGCAGACATCACAGACCAAAATAAAATCTTTCAAGAAACAAAAAAGTTATGTCGTTTTGAAAAAGGACGAACTTTTTGGTCGCGACACATTGAGTGGTGCGCAGTTTAGATCCAACTTTAAGGCCACACAAGTCGTTCAC